CCTCTCTACTCAGATTTTCCCAAATGAACTTCTTGTTATTCAATTTCAACAGATTTACATGGCCACAAGAACTTATCTAGTGTTTGCACCATCTGATTTGTTGGTTTGCATTTCTCCATGTAACTCCAACATTGCATAAATGCTTTATGACCTGCCAGTTATGCTGGTGCGACTGCCATTACAGATATATTAACATTATTTAATAAAATTTAAAAAGATCTAATAATATAAATAATTTAATATTTTTAAAAATGTGAAGACAACATTAATAATAATAAAAATAAAATAATTAAATTAAGATACTTTTGTATTTTTTTTTTTGCTTTTGTTAAGGTTGTAGTTATTAGTAGCTACTGTCTTTATTGTATTTTTAATTATGATTATATAATTTGTACAAGGTGAGTGTATAACTAGTTACTTGTACAACTTTTGATTGTCTAATTTAAGTAGTCCATCTACATAGCAGGTTCTATACTAGTTACTATATCTGCAATCTACTAGGAGATTACTTATTTTAAATATTCTAATCTCTATACTATATCAACAAATAGCACACAAGTTCTGGTACACCTATTTATATGCCATCTAACCTAACCTTAACCTTCCTTTCTGTATATTTGTTAAGCTATTACACATTTTAGAATATATTATCTAACTGTAAGACTCAAGTGTGTTTCTCTGTTAAGGGTGGTATCATTTATTACCTAATTTTTTTTTATTAAAGTGGTACCCTTCTTCTTTTTTTTTAATATATACCTGATCAGGTTCTTTATATTAAATCTTAATTTTTTTATCCCCTTCTTCTTCTAAAAAATCAGGTAATAAATAATACTACCCTAACTAACTACACACATTTAATTCTTATTAACAGGGCTTACTCTTGCAGAGTTTATTTAGACCTCAGTATCGATTTTATAATATATTTCTAGTACTTATAGTATACCTCTGCTTTTGATTTCAAATTTCTAATTCAGATAGTTCAAAAGGATTATAACCTATCTCTAATACTCTAGAGTCTGCTCTCTAAGGTTCATTTCTTCTGGTTTGAGACTTCTAATAGTCTAATTGATAGTATCCTTTATCTAAAATTCTTGGCGAAATTAGAATCTGTGCCCGGTTTGTTGATCATCATGCATGATTTGTGTAACGTCTACATGTGATACTGTAATATCTATATGCACGATGTAAATCAGTATATAATATAAAATTAATACATAAAAGATCAATTTTTACTTGTACTCTTCGCGAATTTCAAATACGCGTTTAGGATCAAATTTTTGTAAAAGTCAACAATATTACATCTTAACAGATGGAGTATGAAGCTATTATATATATATAACTTAAAAAACCTGATTTAAAATAGCAGTTTACATTTGTAGAGACATAATCAAGATATATATAAAAAACCTTTATCAATTTTTATATCACAATAATAGCGATAGCGATAAATCTAAACATATTTTATTACTTATAACAATAGTATCTTAAACATATTTTCTTATAGCGATAGTATTTTAACCATATTTTTTTACTTATAGTGATAGTATTTTAACATATTTTCTTCTTATAGCAATAATATCTTAATGTTAACATATTTTATACTTCATACAGTATTTCATACTTAACAATTTCACAAACTGACTAGCTAATTTATTTATTTTACTTTACACCATTAGGTCGGTTTTCTTTCAGAGCTTGATATAAGTTGTGTGGTCGCTTCTTCATATGTCTTTTCTGTGCCGGCATAATTGAGTGATTAAGTTCTTGCGTTTTGGTATTAACTTTTGAGCTTTTAGTGGTCTTCCTTGATGTACTTTTTTGAGTCCACAACTCAAACTAACTTTACGTCGTGAAACAGCAGCAACTTGAACTCGGATTCTTCTTCCTCCACATTGATAAATATTACTATTAGCCCGACCTTCCTTCCTATCACAAGTGTGAAAAACAAAGCCACTGCTAGAAGAATGTAAGTATTTTGCATGAACCGACATTGTTTGTATACTTCAACAAACCTTTGAACACTATTATTTAATACATGATCATTTTGTTTCAAAAGATCTTCCAGATCATTACAGAACCAACGAAGTTTTTCTATAGCATTTTCCTTATCATTATTAATAATATCATTATCATTAGTGTCACTGCTACTATCGCTATTAATACTTTTATTATTGTCAACATTATCGCAACTATAGCTATCATTATGACAATTATTATCGGCATATATACCAGTATTAATAGTATCACTAAGTTTTAACTCACTATCAGTCACTAAATATGCATCTTTCTCTTTTTCAAGCTGATGAAGGTTTGCATAAAAATCAAGGAACTTACACTTTTCACCTAATGCCAAGAAGGCATAATAATGCCATTTACTAGCAGACATTGTAGGCAATTGATTTAATCCGCATACGTGAAAATGTTTTGCTATAGAAGCTTGATGCTTGCACGGCGCTTCTATTAAACTACACTCACAAGTTCCAAGTTGCATATCAACCAGGTACCACATATCTTTATTCCTGCTGCTTCTATGTCTAAAAACCATTGAGCTTTGATTCACAATTTCTATATCATCTTTTGTTCCAATTGGCTATTCAGAAAGTCTAAAACAAAGTGCAATAAAGTTATCCAAATTATTGTGTGCTACTGTCAATAATCTACGAATATAGTACAAATCCATTGTATTAATTATGAATTGGTAAAGTTGTACTAAATTATATGCTTGTACTCGTTTAAAGATTATATCTTTCAAAATTCGAATGCTGGCCTCTGCAAAATTGTTGGTATGGTTATTACAAACTGAAAGGTCCTGACGAAATGCAATAGCCCATTCGTACTGCCGATTCCAAGAAGCTTTAAAATGGGATTGAAAGGCTGGATACTTTAAGTATATTTGACTAGTTATTAAATTATTGTATACTAAATTAAGCATTATCTCTGTTTTAGCAAATACGATTTTTTTTACATGTTCAATTAGAGTTATGCGATCATTGTTATGAATACCATGTTTGCCGTCCCAAAGTCACCTCCACATTGCTTGCAAAAAGTGAAAGACACATAAAAGCAAGGTTGCATCTTTCCAGGTATTACTTAATGCTGTTCTCTCTGCATTACAGTCATCCGTCATTATCATCTGTGGTTCAACAATACTATCGTGTTTACCAAATGCTATTGATGGTATCATGTGTTTTAATATATCTAGCGCTTTAGTAAAAGTATTTGTTGATTCATCTGAAGTAAGGATTACAGCGAGAGGCAGACCACCAACAGGTGTGCTTGTTGAAAGAATTATTAAGGGAGTATTAAGTATATCTAACCCAGCAGTTGTGTCCATGTATACTAATTCACCTGCCTCCTGTAATTCATAACAACATATCATAAGGTTTGTTAAGATAACAAGAATAAGTGGCTGTCCGGGATCTTCCTTTTCTGGTGCAATATATGATTGCAACCACGCTTTTCCTTTATGGTTATCATTAAATTCAGAAACTTCTTTCACTAATCGGTCAAACATTTCCTTTCCGTTTTGAGCACCTACATGCTAGTTACAATGTTTTTTATAGAGATAAAAAATATCACTTTTACGTGGTGCTGTTGATCTATCAGCTAAAACTTCTTCATCATTTCCACAGTTTAATTGCAATTGTTCCCAATACGTATGATATGCACTACTGGGATTATGACCTGTTTCAAAAAGTTTAATGATTTTATTTTTTGTTTCATTAGATAATGGACAAAAACTCATGACATGGCTAGACTTAAGGGGATGATTATGATCAAAGTGTAAAGAAACAATGCACAGGTAAGGATCAGACTTTTGAGTAATTAAATACTCAATGTTGCCGGACAATTGGTATTTCGCTCCCGTGTATTTTTCATATTGGTTTCGCCATTGTTTTTTATTCCTTGCTTTAATTTAACAATGTGGCTATGGATACAGTAAAACTATTTGGATAGGATATAGCGTATTCCTTTAATGGTACGTCCACGGGTTTCTCTCATTGTTATTTTATGCATATCTATGAATTTCTGAAGCCATGCTTCAGATTCTTCAATTGTTAGAATGTTTATACGACAGCTGGCCTTAAAAGGCATTTCATAGGCACCCAAAAAGCTGTGTGATGAAATTTGTTTAAAGCTTTCTATGAAATATTTATAATTAGAAGGTAATACTTTTTTAATGATAGATTCAAAGATATTTAGATCCTTCATATTTATAGTCTCAGAATAAGAAATTTCATTTAAAATTAATTCCATGGTCACGCCTTAGATATGCTCTTATTTTTTAGGTAATATTATGATTTAGAAAGAATTTTGTAAAATCCAAAAACTGATTTTATTAACAATACTTTCTTATATACAGCTTTATGTTGAATTCAGATTTGCAAGAAAATTATTACAATTACAAATCGTGATGCAAGAATGATGTAAGGTTTCAGATATTCATTTGCTATCTACTTATGTCATAATTAAACTTTGATCTGCAAGAGAAATGTAATTAACAATACGATGTTTCAGTTACTTATCCTAATTTTTACTAATGTCATGATCTCTCAAATTTATGAAAGTAATATAGTCATTAATGAACAATTAATGTAAGGTTTCAGATCATATTTTGCCTCATGGTAAGTACTCATAATTAAAATTGCTTAAATTCTAATACATGCAGCTACTACTAATCAATTAATAATAATTATCTAGTCCTGATTGTATAAACAACAGCAATTACAATGCGAACAGTGGCGTAAGGTTTCAAATATTCATATCATTAATATGGGTAATTATTATGGGTAATTATTATGAGAGATGTACATGAAATGAATTTGATTTTTAATTCAGAATTCCAGTATATTACTAATTACAAATCGCAAGTCATCAAACTATTTACTGATGAATCTGTATTAACTATTATAAAATATCCTTTTATTTTCATTTATTTTTTTTATTTTTCATTTATTTATTTTAGTTTTTTTACATTTATAATAACAACTTTTTTTTTCAATAGATAAACTACTTAAATAATATAGGATCTTTGCTATGAAACTGACCCTCTGAGACTATATTAATTTTGTGAATAAAATTAAAATTGTCGACCATCTAGCTATCCAATTTAAATGAACTTTTTTTTATTTTGTGAAGCTAAATAAGCTCTACAAAATAAAACAAAGATCATTCGAATTGGATAACTAGATGATTGACAATTTTAATTTTTATTCACAAAATTAACATAGCCTCGGAAGGTTATTTTTATAGCAAAGATCCCATATAATGATTTTACATTAAAGCCGAGCATCTTTAGATATTTTAATATATACTTTACAAGTTCAATTTATTTCTTAAAAATCAAAGCAATTTATATACTATTAATATTAGGTATTTCTTTACATTATATCAATATTGTTCAAAATAAATAATTTTAAGCAAGGATGATATGATTACATGTGACGTAAATGTTTTGATTTAGAAAGTAATAAGCTGGAAGCAGTAAATATGAAAACTTATGATCAATTATACTGTTGTACAAGTTAATTGACGTTTTGAAACATAAAATAATCTACTATGCCAAATTATTAAATGCATTAAGTTTGTGAATGTAATTTTTTATTTCAGCAATAAGAGAAATTCTTGAAGTACTTTGGAGAAAAATTAATAATATTTGACTGAATATATAATCAATTTGTTATACAACAATTATATTTTAAGCAATGTTTTTATTGCACCTTACAAATGTTTGTACGCAATATTTGACTTATAAATTACATGGTCTAAAAAATCTATATCAAACTAGTGTTTATTATAATAAAAGTTGATATGTAAACTTTATTAATATTAATATACAGTACAGCAACAAATAGAAATTAATTAAAGTGTCTCTAGACAGATACTAAGTTTATACTGTCCATCAAAAATGTATGGTTTATTTAGTATGGTATTTTTATTACGAAATTTGAAAAACTGCTATTTAAAATCGGGGGTTTTTAAGTAAGTCATATATATATATAATAGCTTCATACTCCGTCTGTTAAGATGTAATATCATTGACCTTTACAAAAATTTGATTCTAAACGTGTATTTGAAATTCACGAAGAGTACAAGTAAAAATTGATCTTTTACGTATTAATTTTATATTATATACTGATTTACATCGTGCATATAGATATACAGTATCGCATGTAGACGTTACACAAATATGCATGATGATCAACAAACTGGGCACAGATTCTAATTTCGCAAATTCTTGCTTATTTGATTTTTTCTACATTAGTATCCATTTTCTAGGTCTAGACTTTATAGTAGTACTGTTAAAGATTCATGTTATCTCTCTACTTGAGTTTTTTCAAGTAGGCTTTAGCTTTCTAGTTTATGGATTTACACAGCTACAAGGACTTATCTTGGATTTGCACTGTCTAATGCCAGTTTGCATTCCTCTATATAACTTCAATATTATGCAAATGCTCTATGATCTGCCAGTTATACTGGTGTGATCATATTATAGTTATCTTATTTTAACTGATCAACAGAATATTATCACTATAATATCATCTATATATTATATAAAAGATTGTTCAAATTTTTACTATTGGTGGGTTTTGAACTTACTACTTACCACTTGGAGGGTTAACAACTTATCTACTTTACTAAGTCATCACATTCTTATATTTTTATTAAATATAAAATGTTTTAATTTAGTTATTATTTAAATATAAAGTATCTTATATAAAAAAAGATTATATTTACATTTTTAAAATTTTTTTATTTATTTTATTTTTCAATAAATATATATTTAAAGAAAAAATTTACTATAAATTACAATTATATATTACATAATAAGAAAATTGATGAGATGCAAAAAACTTAAATTATTATAAAAATCTAAAAATAGAAATTAATAATATATAGCTCTTTAAGAATCTAATAAAAAATTCTAGAATTGTAGATTTTTGAAAAGTTAAAGTAATATCTAATTACTAAAAAATGAAATAAAGTCTTAATTTAAATACAAATTTTTTTCTTAAATACAAAGTTTATTAAATTAAATTTTCTGATTTTAGTATTTTTGAATTTTTAGTTTATTGTTTTTTTTTTGGCATTATACTAATAAATTTTTTTTTTGATATTAGGTAACCTTTTTGGTCTTTTAGCTTTTATTAATTACTTATCGGTATTGTGGTTTAATAAACTACTACAGAAGAGTGTACAATTGGCTACATGTATAACTTTTCTATATTACTTATTTAAGAAGTCCACCTGAAAGTTTCTTACTAATTGCCATACCTAACAATCCTGCTTGGGTGTTTCACTTTAAACTTTCTGAACCTGTAATCTGTATTAACATCACTGGGTCATACCTAGTTGCTCAGAACATCATCTCAATCTTAGAACTAATTTATCCTTGAAGTAAACCCTCAGAGCCTTTTGTATCCATTTTTACAGCTGATTTAAGTATCACTATAGCAAAACCAACACTTGTGATCAGAGCTAACCATTAAACTGCTATGCCTTTGTAAAGTTCACTTAGACCCCAGCATCTATTTTATATCATAACCCTGGTACTTTAGTATACCTTTGACTTTTTCTCTACCTTTTTACCAAACTTCCAATCTAGATAGCCTATATAGAACTATGACCAATTCATTAGTATATCAGGTTGACTCAATATTCTTTTCTTCTGGTTCATTCTGGCAGTCTAGTTGGTAGTATCTTTAAAACTTTCAACTTAGAGGTTCTTGCCCATTCAGCTATTATAACTGGATACTAGACCTTGGTATCCATTTTCCTGGCCTAGCTTTTACAGTAGGGCCATCGAGATCCAGCTATCTCTCTACTTAGGTCTTTCTAAATAGACTTCTTATTACCTAATTTCAACAAATTTACATAGCCACAAGGACTTATTTAGTGTTTGCACTACCTGATTTGTCAGTTTGCATTCTTCTGTATAACTCCAACATTGCACAGATGCCTTATGACTTGCCAGTCATGCTGGTGTGACTGCTATTACAGGTATTCTAACTCAATCATTAGTAACAGTTGCCATAATACAAATATTATATAGATGATTATCTAAATTTTCACTATTGATAGGATTTGAACATTCAACCTACCACTTGGGGGTTAACAACCTGACCACTTCACTAGGTCACCACATCTTTATAAATTTTTTTATTTTCAGGTCTTTTAGCAATTTTTTAGTAAATTTTTTTGTAGTTTTCCTTTTTGATCTCTTCTTTGATTTTCAGATTTTAATTATATATTTTAATAATTTTCTGCTAGTCTTCTAGCTTTTTGGTAATTTTAATTGTTTTTTTTCTGTTCTTTTAGATTTTATTAATTAATTTTCTTGTCTTTAAGCTTTAATTAAGTTCTGATAAAATTTCTTGTAGTCTTTTATTTTTTTGGTAATTTTAATTGTTAATTTTTTTATATTCTCATAAAATTTATACAAATGTAATAACAAGTTTGTTTAGATAACAGAAGAGACTTGTAGTACTAATCTATAAAGCAGAGTATTTAAAAATTTTTATTATTATAAAAAAAATTCATTGTTTTTAGAGTTTTTATTAATTTCTAGTAAAATTTCTTGTAGTTTCTTCTAGTCTTCTGGCTTTTTAACAATTTTATTGTTGTTTTGTTTTCTGTTCTTTTAGATTTTAATAATTTTTATTGTTTTTAGATCTTTCGATAATTTTTAGTAAAATTTCTTGTAGTCTCTTCTAGTATTTTAATTTTTTGATAAATTTAATTGTATTGTTGAAGATTTTTTTATTCTTTTAAATTTACTAATTAATTTTTTGTTTTTAGGTTTTTTGACAATTTTTAGTAAAATTTTTTGTAGTCTCTATCTTTTTTAGTAATTTTAGTTGTATTAGTTTTTTTTCAGTTTTTCTAAATTTTACTAATTAATTTTCTGTTTTTAGATTTTTTAGCATTTTTGATAAAATTTCTTGTGATCTTTCTTAGTATTCTAATTTTTTATTAATTTTAATTATATTGTTAAAGTTTTTTTTTGTTCTTTTGGATTTTACTAATTAATTTTCTGTCTAAATTTTTTGATAATTTTTGGTAAAATTTTTGTAATCTCTTTTGGTTTTCTAGCTTTTTTAATAAAGTTATTTATATTATTAGTTATTTTTCTGTTTATCTAAATTTTATTAATTAATTTTCTTTGTCTTTAGATCTTTTAGTATTTCTAATAAAATTTTATATAATCTCTTTTGATATTTTAGTTTTTTGTTAATTTTAATTGTATTATTAAAATT